GTGCGTGCGTGCGTGCGTGTGTGTGTGTGTGTGACAACCAAAAATTTGCATGCTACTATACTTGTAGGGACCAACAGTCACTTTTGCAGATAAAAATGTGGTTTTAGGCGTGGTGTGACAGTTAGGTTCAGGGTAAGGGTCTAGGGACAGTATCATGTCAATGTCCTAACTAATTAGTAAAAACAAAGGTGTGTGTGTGTAACTGTCTCCTCGTTTCACCGTCAGCAGTTGGAATCATCATTGAAACAACAAATATAAAGGCATTTAAAAACAAAAGCAAAAGGCAGATAACACTTTTGTGGACAAAAAATATCAGACATAACTGTATGAAATGATCACGTCTGCAGCTACGCAGCGTTCACACTGATATTGAGCACCAGGCTTACCCGAGCCTCGTCCCATGGAACAAGAAAGAATTCCTACAACAGGCTGCACTACAACATTCATTCACACAGGGTGCAAGCTTCATATCGCACACAGGTTTCTGTTTTAAGGCTGATACTAGGCTGATTAATGTGAGGTGAGACTCCAAAATATGGAGTTATTGACAAAGATTGTAACCTTTGAAGCATTAGAATAACAGTTCAGCCACTAGTGTCTTACACACAGTTTCTTTTGAAATAGTAGTATTGCAGTACAGACTTGTCTTTGTGGAAAGTTGGTGATTAAATATCTGCCATTTATCCACATGATGTGACAGATTCTGAGTCACGCTGCTGTGGTTATTATCACTGTGATATTCTGGCCTTTGAGTGAAAAGATCAAGCTGTCTAACTGCACAAACACACAGAAACAGTACAACATGAGTACCTCTGTCAGTGCAGCTCTTTTGTCCAGGTGTACAGCAGTGCTGGGTGACTACGCTGTCTCTCCATCTCCATCAATCCTTTAGCATCCAAAGGGAAAAAAGAGAGAAAACAAAGACCAAGCAACTGTCAGGCAAATACAGAGTAAGGCCACAAAGATAAAAGATGGCAGTATAAAAAATGGGGGCGATGCTGTACTCTACCCATGAATGTATTTGCTCCTTTCTCTCCCGTTCTCTCATTCTGTGTGAGGCTCACTGTTCCTCAGGCTTTCTCTCTGTGTTACACACTGATGCCCCATCTGTCGCCGCCCCCTCTCATTCCCATCCCACCTCATACATTATTAATGAGTTTCTCACACACACACACACACACACACACACACACACACACACACACACACACACACACACACACACACACACACACACACACACACACAACACTTGTCTGTGCATGTAGTACAGCCGAGGAAGCCCCCTCAGTTAGTTCAGGCTTATCTGAATTTTCCTATAGAGATTGAAAATGTGACGTCATTCAGGGGTAAAACTGCAAAGGATTCTGGGAACTCGTGGCAAGAGGTACTTTCAATTGAAATCAGTTACACAGCGATAAAAAGAAACACAAAAATGGCAAGAAGCTGTTGTATTATTAACTGCAATAGCCGGTCGCATGACAGCCACGGGAAGCCGACGGGTAAAGAGATCGTTTTTATCGGATTACGTCGTTGAAGAGAAATTGTTCGAGCCATGTTTCCGAAGTAACAAAGAGGCGACTGGATTGCAGCCATTCAAAGACAAATATAACGTCCCAGAACACTCCAGCTCACAGGTTAGTCTGCTCCAAGCATTTCCACAAAGGTCAGTGTTTTGTAGTTAATACGTCATTTTCATAACATAATTGGTGATATAGGTTACAAGCAAGTCTGGCGCTGAACAGAAATTGTCGCGCTATGCTCCTTTGTTTATTGTGCATAAATAGTGAATTGTCCTGACACAATATTGCGTTTCGCTTCTGTTATTATGGTACATTGACAAAAACATATACTTTTATTCACAGGATAAAACAGTTGTTTTGTATCACTAATTGTCCAGTACGATTACAGCATACAGTATTATTGTCACTGCTACATTTCTGTGATGCTACCAGAAATTATTTCCACTACTAATTAATTACCGTTGAGCTCAAAGGTCCTATTAATAAACGGTTAACGAATGTGTATTTATGACGACGATTTGTGAGACTGGTAAACTTATGATAGGTACGATGGTCTTTCGTTCTACACGGTGCATTTCAAGGTCCTGTACCCATCCGGCGGTAAACTGTACCTGGGCTTGTTGCCGTGACCTGAAGTTACTAAACTTCATGAGTGTATGCACTCACTCCAAGAACCATATGATTATAAATCTGAGCGTGGTGAAAGTTGGGCAGCACGCTAACGTCTTTTGTCCACTCCGTGTGCTCGTAAGGGTCTGACCCTTTCACTCCTTGATTTTTTCCTCCTATCTTTGACTTTTCCTCAAGTCTGTCTTTGTACGGACCGGCATTGTTCTCCTTTGTTTTGTACATACCTTTTTGGGGGGCAAAGAAAAAACAAGAAGGTATTGGAACCGAAGAATGAACGTTTTGTGTTGCTGCAAATGCTTGCATTTGATGCGGTACTTGGATTGTTTTGCCACGAGTTCCCGGCATGCAATGCGCGAAAATCACGCGGTCTGTCAATCTCTATTGATGAAGCACAGCTGGAAGCGGGGCCGCTCTACACTGGGGGCAGGGGCCCCCGTAAATCAAACTTTTAGAAGTTGAGAAATAAATAACCATTACCCACAAACTGAATATGGACAGGATTTACTACAGTGGCTGAAAAATCCACTGGAAAAGGCACAAATGAGATGGTTTCACCTCTCGCTCACTCTGTTTGTGCGCAGGCTCACACAGCACTCGGCAGAGATCCCGCCCCCCAGCTCAACATCCAATCACTGTTGGTATGCAAATGAGCCGGTGTCAGGTTTCTCAGTAGGCAGGGCAGAGCAAACTGAAGCAGCAACTCTCTGTGGTCCAAATCACAGTGACTCGTGAGATGATTAACAAGTGAAAATCCATCTGCAGGCAGTGGGAGAGCAGTCCACTGTTGTGTTTCCCTCTGTGAGCCCGTAGGCTGCAGAGACACAAAGCCCCGCCCAGCTTTCAACAGTTTCCTCGTTTCATATTCTGATGTAATCACAGCGATTTCACTACAGCTAGTTCACCCCCAGCTTCCAGCAGCTCACAAAGGTCCAGCCCCCTGTCGTCGCACCGTGTTACATCATTTGGTGATCGCAGCCCATGAATCAGATCTTTATTGTCACTGTTAGCAGTTTGGCATCTCTCCATCGGCAGGATGTAAGTTTTTACATTCAGATTCTTTTAAGACGAGAGAAGAAGATGAACTAGACTTAAGAGGTACCTACACAGGGAATGTATGTAACACACCACAACATAATTATCTGCACAAATAAGATACGTACAAGTTATATCCATTGTAAACAGACGAGCTTAAAATAAGACAACTTACGGGAAAGTAACAGTAATCTAATTACTTTTTTTGCAATTGTAATCCCTTGCTTGTTACATGAAAAAAGTAATCAGGTTACAGAGATGTGTTCCTTGTAATGCGTTCCTGCCCCTCTCTGTTGTTTTATTTTTCAGTTGCACCCCTGAGGGAATCGATTCTAGCTTGGATAACGTGATATCGAATTATATTCGATTAATATCAATTAATTTTGCCCGAAACGCCAGAATCTCAGGATAAACCTCACAAAATTTCAACAACCACCAAACGGCTAAAACAGTAAATGAGAGCAGGAACACGGATTCTGCACAGAGACTCAGTGACATGTGGCTTTCTCACCGACGGCACGGTCACGGTCGGGGCTGAAAGCGACAGCTCGCTGATGCTGATGCGTCGGCGGCTCCACGCTTAGTGTTTACGTCCTTTGGGCGCTGATTCTGAAGCTGCAGGTTTGATCTCTCTCCAAACAATATTGACTGAACCAGCAGCAAAAGAAGATCCAAACTATGCTTCACGTAAACATCGTCATGAATTCCCTCTTAGCTTTGCTGTTTTGCTTCCACCTTCTCTCTCTCTGTACTTCAAGAACAGTTTCCCAAATCAAATTTAAACACTTTAAAATTATGCAAAATTGCAAAACGCTCAGCTGTGTCTGTAATCAAACCTCTGCCACTTTGCTCTGCTTCACATGAGCAGCATCAGGTAACGTTCAAGTGTTGATTAATGGTTTTCTTTCGTTTTTGATGTACTGCAGAATATTTTTATAAAATCCAGACCAGGAAAATCACCTTCATGTTTTTCTGTTTTATCCTCAGTCAGTTTGACACAAAGGCCTCTGCTGTGATGCTCACAGCTTTGATAAAGTCTCACAAGTGTCAGCTTTCTTTTTATAGATACAAAAATATGGAAATGTGCTGATACGTGATCAAAATTATAATATTTCTGACTCAGGCAAAATTTCCCCGATTCAAATCGATTCAAATCGAATCAAATCGAACGATACCCAGCCCTAGTCACGAGCCTTGTGTGCCTCGGGGTGGGACACCCAACATGGCCAGGTCTTAAGGTGTAATCCAATTACATGACAAAACAGTTCTCCAGAGCAGCAGCATTTAGAAAGTCGGCAAGTGTTTGTGAGTATTTATTCACTTTAAATATAGTTAACATTATAGTTAGCAAATATCCACAACTCCAGCTAATGTTGAAGCAAAACAAGAAAACCACTGAATCTAATATGTGAGCTTGGAACATGAGAAGAAGAACGCTGTGAAGTGGTGCTGCAGCTAATGATGAGAGACCACAGAGGAGGAGGAGGAGGGATGGGGCTGGACAAAAGAGAAGAAGACCCCAAACCCCCCACCCTCCAACAGAGTTTAAACTGACCTGAGGGCTGTGTGTGTGTGTGTGTGTGTGTGTGTGTGTCGTGTGTGTGTGTGTGTGTGTGTGTGTGTGTGTGTGTGTGTTTGGCCTCCTGACCTCAGCCTCTATTTTCAGCCCTCGCCTGTCTGCTGCCACACCCCCAGAAAAATCAATGGGCTCCCATCCAAACGGCTGCTGGCTGTGACATGACCCTCGCATATCATTAAACAGATGCCCTGAGAGCAGCGGAGCATCCTTTCCCCCATCGCTGCTTCTTAAGCAGCCAACCAGCCTCGAGCTTTTTCTGATGCTTTTAGCAAAAACATCCAATCACAGATTCTTAGCTCCTGTGCTGAGAAAACCAGACCTGATGGTGCCTGAGGAGCTGAACACAACCAGACTCCGGTCACTCTGTGCCACGGTGAGGGGAGTGCACACACACCTAACTGTGTCCTGTCAGGACAGACCTCACCCTGGGCACAGAGAGAGTACACACACATACACTCTGACTCATTACAAACTGCTGGTTGGAGGGTTGCAAATTAAAAAAACACTTGTTAAATGAATCTTATGTTTGTGCATCTATGCTTGTCCTCTCCCTGTATACACCAGGGAAGCTGAAACTGGAAGCTCCTATCAACACATACTCTCTCAGCATGTCAGCAGATCCAGTATGTGAGCCTGTATCAATAAAATGGGCTGTGACCCCCCTGTAACAGGAAGTGTACCTCAGAGAGAGTCAACAGCAAGCAGAAGCATGTTTGATAACCAACACTCCCCGTCAAGGACTCGGACTCCTAACAGACACTGGAGGACTCCTGGTAATGTGGCCAAGGCTAAATCCAGAATACACAGCAGCGTATTAGAGCAGTCATCACCTCCAGGACCCAGCTGGGCCCAGCAAAGTCCAACATATGAATAAAAGTCCAGTACGTTTCTGCTTGTGCATGTTTGTGGTTCAGAATCATAAAAAGCTTCAAGCACACTCAGGCCTGTGAGGCTCATTCAGACCCTGAGCCGTGGCTCTGTGCTACTATATTAACTGCCATGATGCATTGAGTTTTTCCTTTCCAGTCACCTTTCTCACTCACTATGTGTTAACAGACCTCTTTGCATTGAATCATATCTGTTATTAACCTCTGCCTCTCTTCCACAGCATGTCTTTATCCT